CCGAAGTGGGCGCAGTCGGAGACGAAGAAGTCCATGCTCCGTTGCATGTCCTCTTCTGTCGTACTGTTGAGTGCGCAGTCGTCAGCGAAGAGCAGATCGTGGATAATAGTTGTGGCGTCGGGGTCTTATTTTGCCGGCTGTCGAGAAGGTGTTCGGAGCTGATATAGTACGATTATAAATGCCTAAGTCATCAAGTCTAGACAAAATAGGTCTCGTGTTGTTTGTTTTTGTGGCCGGTTACCCGACGTCTGCATGCACGCCACTGAGTGATCTTCATTTTTCCCGATTTGCTGGCCGCAGGGACGTCTTAGCCAATGAAAATCCTCCTGTGAAGCGACGCGTGCGAAGCACGTGTCCAGACTTTGGTTGGTGCCTGTGATTTGCCCTACTATGAGCCAACCGTCTGCGTGGCTAAATCTTTTCCTTTTTGCGTTAGCAAAGTGAACTCATTTTGCTATCATGCTTTCACAGAACAGGCGCAGTCTATAAAACGCGAGCACGTACTGGTTAAATTCCTGTACGTTGAATCCCTAAATCCTAATAAATCAGCCTTTTCGTGGTGGGGTGGGGGCGGATCTGTTTAGATCCGAAACATTCGGGTTCGCGTTATTACTCCACCCATGTCAGCGAAAACGATTATTTTGCGAAGGCAGCGTTCAAGGATGTGTTACGAAAAGGCGCGAACATTCTTCGCCCAAAGCACACATTCCGAGGGAGAATTACTATATATAGGTGGAGATTGATACTTCAGAACGTGATTTTCAACGTACCGGGGAATGCAGGCTCTATGGATAAAGGTCAAAACAAAGGTTTAGACACGTTGCCTGCAAATACCATAGTCTTATACATCTGTCGATGATAAAATACTCCAAGTTTGAAATTTAAAAAAACCACTAAGTCTGATTCAATGGCACAATGTGTTAATACGCTTAGAAATGACGATGGCTTCGTGGCCACAGGATATCGGCCGACTGTCGGTTGTTTCCTTGGCCAAAGTAGGTAAAGAAAAACGTCAGGCGCGTTTTTTCTGATTTGCGGATGTGAAAGCGCAACCTTAGAGGCTAAGGTTTAACCAATGAGGGGCCTAGCTGCATCGACACGTGCGAAATGTATTTCCATCCGGGCTGACGAAATCGGATGTTATCCCTGCCCAGGACAGTCACAACTGGAAAATCACTATCATGCGTCACCTGATTTCTGACCTGCAAAAATCAAGTAAGGGGAGTTAAAGCCCAGTATTTTTGACTTTGCGTTTCAGAAAGCGGAGATTTAGGAGTGTTCAAATGAATAAAGTGCTTGACTTAGTCTCCCATACTTTTCCGGAAGCTTTAATTTAATAGTAACGTCTTTGTGAGTGGTTTCCCAATATGCGAAAAAATAGAACTGCGGACCCAGTGAGAGGAACTCGAATGCTGGAAGGCACTTTCTTATCTCAAGAATGCCCCAGGATTCTCAGTCGCCCTCATGCCCTTAGGGGTTGGGATCAGCAGCTAGTCAGAGGAGACCCCCCGAAATCAAGTTGGCAGGCTAGACGACTAGCTGACACGACTTGACGTGGTAGAAATCATCCAACAAATCTGGTTCAGGTGCGGTAGAAGCGGACAAGCCGGTGAAAATGGTCGATTACCGCGGAGGTCTTTAGCTTATCATTTTTGGCAAGAGAAGAGGAATGAATTGAACGGACAAATCTCGGCCTCCTTTGCAGGCCGGACATTGGATTCAAGTTTTCTGAATTCAAAGTCCAAAAACGAGTGACGGCTATATGAACCGCGATCCTCGTAAGTCAAGGTTCGTTTGGCTCTGACAACAGTTCGAACGCCACAAGCGCCCCACAGGGGAGGGCACAAAACCCGTGGGTCGCGCGTAAATTAGTTTCTAGTTAGGCAGACTTGCGCGACATATACCGTTGGCCCGAAATATCTGCATCGACACAAGGACCTAACTGCGTAGAGGGATTGCGAAATAAAACATTGCAAGGGTAACCGTTTTGGTGAGTGCTACTGACTACCGGCCTTACACAGACCCGACAAGCATCAGACGGGTTGTAGACTTTCTCGGGGAGAGCTTCGAGTTCGAATCTCAAGCCTCGTACACATGAGTCATACTCCCAACAACTCAAACATTCCCCTTTATGAGAGAACACGAAGCCAGCAGAATCAAATATTTAAAAGAAAAAAGTGAGTTGAGCAGCGGGACACCCGTTATATTCGTCCAGACCTTCAGACTCGTACAGGAGCCTATTATAAAGGGCGATGAAGTAACCGCAACAGTTATACAGCTTTCTCAGTTTTTTTACCTGCTCGTCGACAGCATGCGTTCTTGGCAGTCAACGGAACAGAACTGTAGGAGGTGTACACGAAGCACGTGATTGGAGGGAAAATGGTTAATACGTCCCTTAATAGAGTTGCCACTAGAGGTTCAAACAGATTTTGACCTGCATTGTTACCGGCCTACGTCATTATCCGAGTGTTCTTGAGGTCACATTCGGTACCAGTCTCCAGGGTTTTCAAGCAACGTGGGACAGAGGATCACCTCTGAACGACCAGTCTAGGCTCATGTGATTGTGGCCTGATCATTTTATTTGTAGGGTCAGGCTCCACAAGGGACCTGAAAATCGACGCTACCTTGCTCAGTTGCATCCAAACAGTCTTTCGTTTGCATGGTGATACGCATAGTAGCCTCCGGCCTACGGGATATGCCCATACCAAACTCTGCAAAACTTTGTTTCGTTGTCTTGGATGCACTTCGGATATACGGGAGGGAGTACCAAAGTGCTAGTGACTGTCTCCCGTCTGTCATTTATGACTGCGTACACACACGCCGACTGACGAATGTTCGTGGGTGGTGGCACATTGCAAATCGGCCGCACATAATGCTAGAGATTCAGTGCTCTTCCCTCTGAATTGCTGCACTGCATGATGACTCATTCGAAGAGAGTTTTAAAACAGCCCTCACCCAGCGGTTATTATGAAAGGTTGGGGTGTATTGGCGGCCAGTTTTGAGTCCACGTGAAGGTCGTAGTAAGGGCCTTCACTTGCTCGCAGCTCTTGGCTACGACTAGCGTCCATTAATGCGCACCCAACTCTGTGTTGCTCCCCGAGGAGACTTCGGTAATCGCCTCGACCGGCGAGCTAGATTTGGTTAGGGAATCCGATGTTGTGTGACCCCACACCTGACACCCCTGTTTCCCTTCCCATCCTCCACCAGTCCCCGGTCCCTCTTCCCATTCTAATCCCTCTCCGCTTCCACTTCAGAAAGCCCTACGCAGAGGGTGATATGCAATCCCGTAGGCGGTCCAAGCTAACTCAGGTCGCTCTCCGCTAAACAAAGACGGTGCCCATGGTGGAGTTCGGCAAACGTTTAGGATGTCTGCGCAGCCGTATTTATTGATAGCACTGCCTAGCCCCTGATGGGGAAGGGGTTAGGAAAGGTGTCCCAAACAAATGTTGGGGAAGCACGCCACCTGCTCGTATGCCGTGTTTCGTAAATGCAAATCTCGTGATCGAAACACTACAATGAACGGCAACAACAACCACTCTCTCCCCCGCCCCACCCCACAGGCTAATTGGGTGAGTTCGCTCTCTTTGGCAGTCCGGAATGTTCGTCCCCTTTTAAACAATCCGGGCAGCAACCGACCGGAAAGGAGGACGGCTCTAGTCGCTCGAGAATTGGCGTGCTACAAGGTGGACCTCGCTGTACGGAGCCGAATTCGTCACCGTCGTCAGCGCCCACGCTCCCCTTATGAGCAGCTCCGATGAGGTCAAGGACAAATCCTACGAGGACCTGCACGGTCTTCTGGTGACTGTGCCGAAGGTGGATAAGCCGACTGTCTTTGGTGACTTCAGTGTTTGCGTCGGGACAGATTGCGCTGACACGAGGGGAGTGCTGGGTCCTCACGGGATAGGTGGCTGCAACGACAACGGTTTCCTTCTCCTGAGGACCAGTTCAGAACACCGGCTCCTGTTAACCAACACCTAATTCCGCCTGCCGATGATGAAGAAGGCGACCTGGATACGCTCCGATTGCCGCGCTGGTAGATACTGGACTATGTTCTCGTTCAGAGGCGCGAGCGAAAGGACGTGATGGTGATTAAGGCAATCTGCTACGCCGGTGGCTGGACGGACCACCACCTCGTCATATCCTAGATGGAGCTCCGTCTGCAACCCCACAGAAGGCCACAGGCCAAGCAACCAATAGGAAAGTAGAAAATTGGGTTGGATACCAGTGTCGCAACACTCCGTTACTAATGCTAGTATTATTGCAGTTAGTTACCCATACTGTACGCGTTGGTAGAGTAGCATTGGCAGCCGTGTTGGCGGTGGTAGTAGTAGTACTAATAGTAGGATTATTAGTAGTATTCGCCGTATCAGTGGTGGTAGACGGGGGAAAAAGTTTTCTTCAGTGTTGCGACACTGTATTCCCGCCAGTGGTAGTAGTATTAGTAGTAACAGCGGTAGTAGTGGTGGTGGTAGTATTAGTGGTAGTAGTAGTAGTAGTCCGCCCGTAAGACAGGCTGGTGGGGGAATAGACAATTCTAAGTGTTGCGACACTGTATTCCCGCCGAAAACTGTTCTGTTAGGTTTGCCTGTTCACCGTTTAAATTTCAGCAAGCAGTTATCTGAGCACCTGGAATACCTGCCAGTCCCCAACGACAACACCACCGTAGAGACTCGGTGATGTTAACTGCGGAACGTCATCCACTCGATTGTCCTGGGTGTCATCGGTCGCGCACGTCGCTAGCACTAGGACTGGTTCGACGAAAACGACACAGCCATTATTAACCTGCTCGCCGAAAAGAACAGGATGCTTAGAGCCTACCTCGAGGGTCCAACCGGGGCATACAAATCGGCCTTTCACCGATGTCGCCGCCCTGTCAGCAGCGATTGGGGGAAATGCTAAACGTCTGGATGGCTCGCAATTCCGAGGAGGTTCAGGGATATGCCGACCATAACGGCACAAAGAACTTCTTCGATGCTGTCAATGCGATCTACGACCCCAAAACCAAAGGAACTTCACTGTTTCTCAGCTCTGATGGATCAGCGCTCCTGACGGAGAAGCCGCAGATTTCGAAGCGCTGTGTCGAGCACTTCAGAGGTGTCCTCAACCGTCCCTACGCAATCTCCGACGCCGCCATCGGCAGACTCCCACAGGTCGAAACGAATGTCGCTCTGAACCTCCCATCTTTTCTTCCAGAAACAATCCGAGCCGTGCAACAACTGGCCGGTGGGAAAGCACCGGAATTCAACGGGGTCCCAGCTGAAATCAACAAACACGGCGGCCACCGACTGATGGACCAAATGACGACGCTGTTTCAGATGTAGCGCTGCGGACAAGTTTCTCGGGATTTTAAGGACGCAACTATCTTTCACTACTACAAACGGAAAGGAAACCACCAACTCTGTGACAGCACAGAAGAATCTCGCTGCTCAACATCACCGGTAAGATCTTCGCCAGCATCCTTAACCACCTCGAAGGCCATCTAGAACAAGGACTTCTGTCGAAAATTCATTGTGGATTTTGGCGACACCGGTCAATAACCGGCATGATCTTTGCCGCTCGCCAGCCACGAGAGAAGTGCCAGGAGTTGCGGATTCACTCCAACATCACCTTCGTGGATCTGAAGAAGGCCTTCAACACGGTAAATCGCGAAGGACCGTGGAAGATCGCGCAGAAGTTCGGTTGTCATGAGCGACTAACACACATCGTACGTCAACTCCACGATGGTATGCTGGCACGCGTAACGGAAAACGGCGCAATTCCCGAGCCATTGTCAGTGAGCAGGGGATTGAACAGGGGTACCTACTGGCACCCACACTCTTCAGTCTAATGTTTTCCGCCATGCTAGCGAACGCCTATCCTGATGAGAGTCCAAGGATCCGCGTCGCCTGAAGGACCGACGGGCACCTCACCAGCAGTCGGCGAATGCAGGCCTCGATGCATCCCTCCATGGCTTTTTTCCACGATCTGCTCTTCACAGACGACTGCGAACTCAACACTACGACTGAAGAAGGCATGCAACGGGGCATAGGTCTCTCCGCCTCCGGCTGCGTCCACATCGGACTGACCATCAATGCAGACAAAACCGTGGTCATGTATCAACCGTCACCGGACCCTACGTGCAACGTCCCTTGCAACCCTGTCAACAGCACCGAACTGAAGATCGTGGACAATCTCGCCTACTTGGGCTGTGGTCTCACACTGCGTCAGAATCGATCACGAAATGGCCCATCGGATTTCCAGAACCAGCCAATCCTTCGACCGACTGCAGAACTCCGTGTGAAATCGCCACGGCTTTCGTTTCAGCACGAAACGGAAAATGTACAAAGCCGTCACTTTTATGAAGCTGTTGCATGGAGCGGAAACCTGGACAGTCTACGCTAAACAAGCGCAGAAGCTCAGTCGTTTTCGCCCCCGTTATCTCAGGTGAATGCTAAAGCTGGGGTGGCTGGATAGGATTTTGGACACGGAAGTTCTTAATCCGACAGAAACCCTCAGCATCCACGCCATGCTGAGGCAACTACAACTACATTGGAACGGCCATCTCGTTAGGATAGAAAATGCACATTTACCAAACCAAATCTTTCACGGTGATGTCGCCACGAATGCTCGCCGACAAGGAGTTCAAATCCACCATCACATGGACACCTTGAAGACCTCCTTAAGGCGTCTACATATCGACCCGAAGACTTGAGAATATCATGCACAAAACCGGCCAGCCCGGAGAACTGCAGTGAAAACTGGAGCAGTAATCTACGAAGTAAACTGGATCGTAGCCGCCAAAACCAAAAGGGAAACCATAGGTCACAAGCGCCTCGACTTCGCAATGCTAACAGCCTGCCGTTTCCGACATGCCCACGCTGCCAACAGATCTTCCGCGCGCGAGTCGGCTATGTAGGACACCGTCGAAAGTAATGCAACGACAACCCGTCAACTTCTCCCTCCAACATTCTTCCAATATTGCCTTCAAGCGACTACTTTTGTTGACCTTGTTGTTTCTGCTGCATTCTCCTCACTCGTTATTTATGCTATGGAGCGACAGGACGCAGCTGATGAGCCGTCGCGCAATTTTTTTGGTACCAATGAATCCTCCCTTGCACGCTTGCTTCAGCTCCGTGTCCCTTCCTAAACCCCACGACGACAACCACCCACCTCACCGGTAATCACACCGCCGATGCCCCGCCGCCATTGATCATCGGCATAATCCGCCCTGCCGTGTGGATCCTCTGCTGTGTATGAGATCTGGGCGTTTTATTTCACTTGTGTGAAATTCTGGTGTGTGCTTTTGGGGTCCAGGCCGTGTATGTGGCATGCGCATGCAAGATCGGCAGCTCTGTCAGCCACCGTGCCCATTCCCCGCACGGACCGGTTCGGAGAGTGGTTGGGGCTTGGGGACGGAAATGAAAAGTGGGGTCGGCGACTCAGGGCACTTTCGTCACTAAAAACAGCTAGATCGCAGTTGGAAGCCAGGAATGGGGAAGCGGACAGCGACCTTAACCCTAATCCTAACCTTAACCTTACACGTTAACCCTTAACCATAACGGCAACCGTGACCCTAACCCTAACCGAAATCGTAAACGTAACCCTTAGACATAGCCCTAACTGTAAAACAAAACCGTAATACTCAAACCTAAAAGCAATCTGGCGCGCTTGAAGCTATCACAGTGCGTTAAAAGCCGTGGCTTGGAAGATTGGTAACTGACGGGATAACTCGTACCTCGCAGTCGGCCCAGTGTGCGTTTGGGTGGAGTGATCTACAGGTAGACTGAGAGTCAGGCTTCAATAGCTCCTTCTCGATGGGGGGTCTACGATACTCCTACTTCGCGGAATCCGAGCCGGGTGGGGCGCCACGCTTAGGGGCGGCTCCGGCCGCGCCAGCTACCTGTGCTTTCTCCCATCTCAGGTTTTCTTGACTATGTCTTGATACCGGCAACAACTGGGGAAGGAGGGAGTGTGGTAGATGCTACGCAAGTCCGCTACCACTTTAAAAAGAATCACGTGCAAGTCACCGTGACTGCTCTTACCATGCCGTGGAGCAAACGATGGACATCGTCGGTCACAACAGTCGAACTGCCATTGTGAAAGGTTAGGATCTGTGCCGTTTCACAACCCACCATTGACTGTGGTATCAATGGCACTGTTGAGTATCTTGTGAGGCGTGGCTACCGTTCACTCTCTCTCCTTTGCCAATCAAGTGACCCGGGAGCTGTTGTTGAATCTCCCCTTCAAGCTTGGCAGTGTGCACCGCTCCGCGTACCGGCTTAAGAGTACAGGCTCTATGAGGCTGAAGACGACTTTTTCAGTTCGGGGCAAGTTCTGCGACAAGTCCTAGAATTGAGTACTACATCGGATAGCTCTTGGTCTCCACGTCGCCTCACAACTGAGCGTGAAAGTCTCACTAACAGAATTTAAATACTCATCATATGCTCCATATAGAAAGATCCTCGTGTAGCGTTGTACTTATCTCCATCCCAATCGGTGCAGGCAGGATATAAAGCATGAGAATGATACCATAACTCGGTCACAGTAAAAACGTTAACAACGGTCATTGAAGAAATTGGAAGACAACTTATATGCAGTCAGACCTGACGAAAATTCAATTTAACCGCCGCATTAATACTCGTTATAGACTGAACCGACACACGGGAAAGTGCTTGACTGAAGGGAAACAACCGGCCTATTAGTTCCGTGCAAAGCTCAGGGTGAATCGTCCATAAGAGCCATAACAGGGAGGCAGTAAAATCTATGTAGACACTGACAACCCAAGTTCACCTTCGTTTTCTGCAAAACGCAGTTCCAAGAATCGTCTTCAAAAAAGGCAAAGGCAGGTGCGTAAATTGTCGGTCAGAGGAGCAAGAAAGTATGCCCCATACTACTGTCCTACTCTGCCTTCTATTCTCGAGCCTTGCGAACTTAGTCACCCAGCAGCCGCCTTCTTCAGCGACACAGCGACACGGATAGAAGGCGCCTATTTCTTCTCTCCAGCATCACACTGATTCCTTTGATCTCTGATGCGAAAGGCAACCGTCGGTGAGCCAAGTTGCACAGAATGCTTTTTAGAAACTTCTGCCTGAATGGTCGGTCAAATAAAACCAGTAGACGAATGAAAACGGGAAAGCGTTACAACTGATGTTTTGCTAGACTTTGCTACGTCCCGTACAACATTGTCCCAAAGTCCAAGAATGTGTCGGTGTCTTGCGTGCCTTTGCCGGCTCAGTTGTATCCCCTCCGCGTAGCGGTTGTTTCTTATTACTGTGACCTTTATGAAAATTCTTACTAATGCAATGCCTGGAATGATTAACCTCAGACGTGTACAGTGAGGGCAGAGCACGCGGTTGACACACGAGCAGGTCAAGTCTCCCACTTCGCCCACGCTCATTTCCAGTCGCGTAGACTATCCTCCCACTGGAAGACGATAGTCGAGAAAAGGGAGTGAGAGAGAGAGAGAGATGTAGTGCAATTCAATTACCCACGATGACCTAACCCATGTGTGTCAACACTGCTACACGGAGGCAGTGCTTCGCTTGTTCGCTTGGAACGAATTGTCGGGTCACCATACGGAGTGCACGCGGTGCCCAAAGGAAGTCACTTTTGTAAGTTGACAGTCACACAGGGATGAGACCTCCCCTACGGCACCCTCCGACGCTTGGCTCAGATCTTCCGCTCCACCGGACACAATTAACCTGGATGCATCCGCACTTGACAAGCAAACCATAACAAAAACTATGATCTTGAGCTTTTCCGCCTTCAAAAGGGCCTCTGCATTCATTAAGAGGGTTTAGGGAAAACGGTGCTAATGCAGTAGCTAGATGAGAGAATCCTCCACGAATTACCAAAGTACACGTCGGCCTACCCCCCACTAGTAAAGCTAAACCAAAGATCGCACTCCTCTACCACCACCACTTTTCAGCATCCAACAAAAAATAACCATCCTCTGCGAAAGGCTTTTTTATGTTCAACAAAAGTAACCCGTAAACACTAACTCGTATAAAAAAGGCATGTAACGACAAAAGCGGGGAAATGCTTAAAGGAGTTTTAATCGCATGTAAAAGCAGCGTTGATCAGGCGCTGGATGCGGGTATATTAAACTGGAAAAGCAGGATTCTAGGAGGTCAGACATTGGCGCACATTAAAACGAAAAACTGTTCAAAAGAAGGCCTTAGGCATCGGCCTCGGCCTCCTCCACATCATCAACAGGCACACTGGCAAAGACCTTTTGCAGGCAGATAGTCGACTTGTCTGAAAGTAAAAACAGAAGATACAGTGTCACACATACACTGCTGAGCATTGTTAGACGGCCAGAAAGCCAGCATGACTACATTTTAAGAATATTAGTTCGGTGGTAGTAGCAGATCTCGGCAGAGAAAAGTTAACACATCAGGTCGCCACACAAGGCCCTGTAACCATCTGCTTTTGCGATCGCAAAGACTACCCCTAGTTGTTGGGTCAAGATGCTGTGGATGAACCGCCGCGAAAGTGTTTGGCCTACACACACCAAAAGAAAAAACCCAACCTTATTCTGGTTGTAAATAGATACAGGACAGGACGTTCTCTTAATCCTCAGCTAGAGATATGTGGAAGTGGCAGTGCTTACACATGAAATCGGTGAATTTCCTAGGTTTCCGTTTCCAGCTGACAAAGACCAGATAGATGGGGATGGCCGATAACATGAGAATAATATTTGAGAGGGATTCCTTCGGCTGCTGATAGGCGGTCAGACAGAGAATGAATACATCGCAGAAGAGAAAGAGAATGGGAAAGAAGATTGGCAGCTGAAAAAGAAAATAATCTGTGGTAAGAAAGCTTGTAAATGAGTTAACGAAACAGTAGTACTGGGATTAAGAACAACGGCCAAAATCACGTCTAAAACGCCCACAAATTAGGAAACAGACAACTTTCTGCCAGGGTTCAAAAATACAGTTAGCCCGCTTGCGTCCAGGAGTCTCCATGTAACTACTACAATAGGTGGCGTATCTCATGAAATTTAGATGGCAATCCTGAAATTTCGATTTGGAAAGATTACTTAGGTGGGTTTGTTGCATTGGTTGTGCTGCAGTATAATTCAAAATTATTTCAGTCGAGCGAGAAGGCCGGCTTTTGAACGCGCTTCTTTCCGGCCGTTTACGTAAACCACACGCAGTAAAGATAAAGACCTAAGTAGTACGATTTTTATGTTAATTTTGGACACCTCATGCATTCAAGTATGTTTTATAGAAAACAGGCAAAGTACCTCATCTTGGGCTCATTTTAATGAAAAGTATGTCTTCTTTCAAGTCCACAAATAAAAAGCATCTTTCAGTTTTATTGTTTACAAACTCTCGAATACTTTTTAACACGAGTAACCGTCACACTTGTGTGTAGGTCTTTCAAGACACCGCTGCATGCATTTCATGTAAGAAGAATAATAAATTCCTTCATGTTATTAAAGTGGTGTACAAGGCTCATAAACTTTTTTTAATGCATGCGGACTACACTGTATACTTCATAAGGAACAGTTCATGACATGCCACATTGTCAAATCCCTGCATTTTGCAAAAACACTTTGAACCAGTCAAGATCAGACGAAGCACACCGATTATGATATCCGGCCAGCCCTAACTAAAATACCCCCACTCATACCTGAAAGTCGGTTTTCAAATCCGGGTCCTTGTAACGAAGGTAGAGAAGACCCAGAACAGCAAGAGCAGCAATCAGGGAAAAGGCAAAGCCGGCGAGCTCAATGAGTTGGAACAAGTTGCTGTAGAATTGGAAGCCAACTCCAATGATCATCTAGAAAGGGAGACTTTGAAGAGGTCAGCTGAACTTGACAAACATAAATAAGAGAACGAATGTTCGAAAAGTTGTAAACAGGCAACTGCGGACATTACACACCTAAAACTATGAGCTTCACGTCAGAAAAGAACATTTTCGGGAACCAGAACCTGATGATGCTCAAGAACTAATGCCGTCATTCAAAAGCGGACCTGCCAAGCCAAGAACAGAAGGTGTTGTCCACAGTCCATTCACATAATGTTGCGTTACACACAATGCCATCCAGAGAAATATGACGAAACGGGTATGTGTTGCTGAGATTTTAAACAGGCAGTTGAGAGCTAAAGTCCT